CATTGAATCTGTAGATTGCTTTTGGTAAAATTGCCATTTTTACTATGTTGGTCCTGCCTATCCATGAGCATGGGAGATCTTTCCATTTTCTGACATCTTCAATTTCTTTTTTCAGGGACTTAAAGTTCTTGTCATATAGGTCCTTCACTTGCTTGGTTAGTGTTACCCCAAGGTATTTTATGTCATATGACCTACTCTGTTGATGGGATGGCCAAACACCCTAATAGTCGTGCCAGAAACCCCATCCAACGACTGAGGGATCTGGATGCAGAGATCCATGGCTAGGCCCCAGGTAGAGCTCCGGGAGTCTAATTAGCGAGAAAGAGGAGGGTTTATATGAGCGAGAATTGTTGAAACCAAGTTGGATAAAGCACAGGTACAAATAGCCAAACGAATGGGAACACACGAACTATGAGCCAATGGCTGAGGGGCCCCCAACTGGATCAGACCCTCTGAATAAGTGAAACAGTTGATTGTCTTGATCTGTTTGGGAGGCATCTAGGCAGTGGTACTGGATCCTGTGCTCACTGCATGAGTTGGCTGTTTGAAACCTGGGGCTTATGCAGGGATGCTTGGCTCAGTCTGGGAGGAGGGGACTGGACTTGCCTGGACTGAGTCTACCAGGTTGATCTCAGTCCTTGGGGGAGACTTTGCCCAGGAGGAAGTAGGAATGGGGGGTGGGGTGGAGGAAGGGGAGGGGGCAGGAGGGGGGAGAACAAGGGAATCCATGGCTGATATGTAGAGCTGAATGATATTGTAAAATAATTTTTTTTTTGGTTTTTTGAGACAGGGTTTCTCTGTGTAGCTTTGTGCCTCTCCTGGGACTCACTTGGTAGTCCAGGCTGGCCTCAAACTCACAGAGTTCCACCTGGCTCTGCCTCCCCAGTGCTGGGATTAAAGGCGTGTGCCACCACTGCTCAGCTTGTAAAATAAAATTTAAAAAAAAAAAAAAATAGGTGAGAAAGATGGATTAGTACCCTTATGGCACCTTGTTAGGCTCCCAGTGTAGAGTAAGGCCCTTCTATTTAATGGTAATAATCTCCCTTAAAATCCCTGCCTTTGTTCAGCACTTGAGGGTCAACTGGAACTACCTAGTGTTGTTTTTGTCTTCAACCCACAGACTTCCCATTTATTTATGGACCCATTTGTTCCTTTTTTCACTGTAGTCCTGAATGAATCATAATAGCCATCCAAGAGTTAGTATCCCATCTAAGAAATCAGCCCCATTATTTTTAAATTCTGCCTTACTCAAGTTCTTGGGGGCTTGGGCATAATAAGAAAGGTTCGGGTGGTGGCGGTGGTGGCGCACGCCTTTAATCCCAACACGCAGGAGGCAGAGCCAGGCGGATCTCTGTGAGTTCGAGGCCAGCCTGGGCTACCAAGTGAGTCCCAGGAAAGGTGCAAAGCGACACAGAAAAACCCTGTCTCGAAAAACCAAAAAAAAAAAAAAAAAAAGAAAGAAAGAAAGAAAGGTTAGGGGGCCAAAATATCCCCAAAATGACTTCTAGCTTAGTTTATCATGGAGTCTATTTCCCACTGAGATCCTGTGACCCTGACCTCCACTGTCTGCATTACTCTCCACAGTCCTTTATCCCAAGTCTTCTAAGACTAGCTGATTAAGCTTTGTGTGCAGCTTTCTATGTCTTTTGCCATCTAAATCTGAATATCCTCAACATTCCTCCAATAGTCATCATTCTCAGGTCCTTTGCAGCAACAAAATCACTTTTGGTGTACCACATACTGCTATATTGATAGAAATTCAAGCTAGCACTGGAGGCAAAAACCATGAGGAATCTTTGTTTACTAGCCTTTTCTCTTACTTGGTAATTTTCTTATGCTCAGCTAGCTCTCTTATCCAGTCCAGGCCAACTTTCTTAGTCTATTGCACCCTCAGGGCCTTCACACCTCAATCATCAATCAACAAAATTTCTCTAAGACTTAGCAACCAGCCATTCTGATGGGGGCACATCCTCAACTGATATTCTCACAGATGACTCCAGACTCTGATGTTGTCATCTGGAAGTAATTAAGACACAGAGACAATAATATATGAGCAAGTTTTGCAAGCCTAAAACCAATGTATCAACCTCATCAATAACTTAAATAGCAAAAATGAAAACATTGATGATAGTAACAACTGGAAAACACAGACATGCCAAGAAATGAGGAGAGATAAGCTCTAAGATCAAGAAGAGAAAATTAAGACTGTTTCTCCAGAGAAAGTCTCCAAACCAATGAACTTAAGGAACTCATGACATAATGTT